AAATATTAACATTTTGAACAACAGAGTGAAATTACATCTAATGAAAACCCTGTACTAATAGGGCTTTAAAAGAAGTGATTTTCTTGAAAGGTTCTGTAGGAATGTTTTTTCAGGGTCCGTTCATAGGATGTTCAAGATCTGTTTAGGGATGTGAACCAGTAATGAACAAAGATGAGCAAGTGTTTTTTTAAAAAATAAGTTACAATATTTGAAACATATACCTCTGGAATTAGGGCTTGTAACTTTCACAGAGAGATAGTGATAGATTTAATGTTAAGATTCACTTCCTTTTATAATCTATTTGACTTTTTAAATCCATACTAATAGGTCAAAATAGTGAAGCCAGTATCCTGCAGTGTTGGTACATTAGTGTGTATTGTCTTCTCATGTATTTCCTTCTGTTTATTCTCAGTCATTGAAGAAAGTTGGAAAAGATTCTACTGTCATGCTAATCTGCATCACTGTGTTTCTTTCATACCTTCCTGAAGCTGGACAGTATTCAAGTTTTTTTCTCTATCTCAGACAGGTGAGTCGTAGGCCTAGTAGCCTTTAGTAGCCTTTGAACACAAGGAAAATCAAAGATTGGGATCTGTAAAGATATATTGGGGAAACCATTGTGGAGAAAAAAACTTGCTTCTGGTTATAAATGTAGGTGCTGACATATAATTAGTAGACAGGGAATCTTTAATGCAATGATGATTTAAAATATAGTAAGATATTTACTGTGGAAAAAATGTCCTTGATAATTATACAGAGGAAGAATTAGCAGAAATAGAACTTATCATAATTTTTCTTGATTTTTTTTTTTAAGACTATTTTTTTAGAGCAGTTTTAGGTTCACAGCAAATTAAGAAGGTACAGAGATTTCCTGTACATACCCCTTGTTCCCACACATGCACAGCCTCCCCCACTATCAACATTTTGCACCAGAGGAACATTGTAACATTTGTTACAGTGGATTGGCGCATTATTATTACTCAAAGTCCATAGGGTATATTGGGGTTCACTCTTGGTATTGTACGTCCTATGGGTTTGAACAAATGTATAATGATATGTATCCAGCATTATAGTATCATACAGAGTCATTTCACTGCCCTAAAAATCTTTTGTGCTCCACCTGTTCATCCCCCAGTCTCTGGTAACCACTGGTTTCTTTATTGTCTCCATGGTTTTGCTTTTCCAGAATGTGGTATGTTTGGAATCATACAGTATGTGGCCTTTTTAGATTAGCTTCTTTCACTTAGTAATATGCATTTAGGGTTCCTCCATGTCTTTTCATGGCTTGATAACTCATTTCCTTTTAGCAATAGACTGGATGTACCACAGTTTATTCATTCACTTACTGAAGGACGCCTTGGTTGATTCCATGTTTTGGCAATTATGAATACAGCTGCTATAAACATCCATTTATCATAATGTTTTAAATCTTTAATGATATCCATTAAATTTCACAGACCTGGGTCTCATCCCATCCAGCTTGCTGAGTCGTCTTCAGTAGGCTATAGCTCAGCTACTGCTGTAGATTTGAAGATGGCTCGTGAGCAGTAATCAAAATCTTTCCTCTCCTCTGTTTTTCTCTTTAAGAATTTAAACCCTACTTTGTTCTCGAAAATCGATCATTGGCTTAAGGCAATTAAAACTCTCTCTCTCTCTCTCTCTCTCTTTCTCTTTCTCTTTCTCTTTCTCTCTCTCTTCCCTTTTCCAACTGTTTCTGAGGTCTCTGGGTTTGCTCAAGCCTAACCCACCTTGCCATTGTGTCCTGCTCAGGCCTCTTACTGGTTTCACTGGAAGGAAAGCCTTTTCCAGATGGTTTATTCCACTAGGGCAGAGCAGGACTCCTCCTAAGATAAATCTCTCTATTTTTGGAAATAGTTTTGAAGAAAACTTTGTTAAGTTTTCCATTCTGGTAGTTTTCCTCAGAGTATGAGACTAATGTAGCATATAAGTAAAACATTCTTCCAAGCATTTCTGTTTTGCTTTGCTAATTTTTGGTGGGTGGATGCTAGAGATTTAGAGGGAAGAGTGTCAAGACAATATGTGTTTAATGTAGAAAATTATACATGCATTTATAAATAAACTATGCATTAAATTAAATATGCATTTAATTTAGAAATTAATGTAGGAAAGATGGGAAAGCCCAAGGAAGAAGGTTTTAAAAAATCATATCGCATCTCCTCACACAGATAATAAACAATTGCGACAACTTTATTCTTTTAGCTTTTTTTCCTATATTATATGCTTATGTCACCACCACCACCACCACCACCAATTATAACAAATTGGAATCATTCCATGATATTTTGTATTTGTGTTCACTTTTGAGAGTGATTTTCACACATATGCAATTTTAGGTGAAATTGCATTCAATATTTGAAAATTGTTTATCTGATAAAGAACTTGTATCCAGAATATATATAGAACTTTTATAACTCAATAAAAAGACAACCCAATTGAAAAGATTGGTGAATGGGCCAGCCCGGTGGCGCACTGTTACAGTGCGCCGCTTGGGAAGCATGGCGGCGCTCCCGCTGAGGGTTCGGATCCCGCATACGGACCGGCCGCTCACTGGCTGAGCGAGGTGCGGGAGCAACACCGAGGGTTGCAATCCCGTTGCCGGTCCCGGTCTGGTACGGGCGCGACACTGAGGGTTGCGATCCGTTGCCGGTCACGAAAAAAGACAAAAAGGAAAAAAAAAAGAAAAGATTGGTGAAGAATTTTGAGTAGATGTTTTTCTAAGGAAGATACACAAAAGGCCAATAAGCACATGAAAAAATGTACAACATTATTAGCCATCAGGAAATGCAAATCAAAACAACAAATGAGATACAACTTCACAGGCACTGGGATGGCTATAATTAAAAGAACAGACAAGGATGTGGAGTGTCCTGACCCGCGGGATATTCAACACAGACCCTGGAAGAGGGAGTGGGAATTGGATGGGACAAGAGACTTGAGAAATGGAGACCAGACAGTATTCTGATCAAGTCTCGTTTATTAGCCAGAAGGTCACAGCTTATATAGCCAGCAGGAGGGAATCAGCAGATAAGGAAGTGAGCAGCAGATGGTTTACTGAGAAAACCGCAGGGCGGGTTGTTCCGGTAAATGGAAAATTCCCGTTATCTATGGCAAGTTGCAAAGTTACTTACACCCATAGTGCACAGGAGGGGGAGGGACGGAAGATAACAGCAAACAAGGCTCTGAGGCCTCGAGGCAATAGCTGGGCGGGCTCTTTGGCTCCGGACAGGCAGGCAGCCGGGCTCTATGGCTCCGGACAGTGGAGAAATCAGGACTCTCACACATGCTGGTGGGAATGTAAAATGGTGCAGCCACTGTGGAAGAGTCTGGCACTTATTCAAAATGTTCAACATAGAGTTACCGTATGACCGAGCAAATCTACTCCTAGGTATATACCCATGGGAAATGAAAACACATATCTAACACAGAAACTGGTACACAAGTTATTCATAACAGCAGAAAAGTAGAAACAACTCAAATGTCCATCAGCTGATGAATGGATTAATAAATATGATCTATCCATATAATAGAATGTTGTTATTGGCAGTAAAGAGCAATGAAGGACTGATAATGTGCTACAACATGGGTAAACCTGAAAAACATTATGCTAAGTAAAAGAAGCCAGTCACAAAGGACCACATATTGGGTAATTCTATTTATATGAAATGCCCAGAATAGACAAATCCATAGAGACAAAAAGTAGATTAGTAGATAGGGGAAGGGTAGGCTGGGGAATGGAACTCCTAAAGGGTGCCGTATTTCTTTGAGGAGTGATGGTTGCCCAAATCTGTGGATATACTAAAGCCATTGAATTGTACACTTTTTTTTTCTTTTTCTTTTTTTTTTTTC